AGTACTTTTTCCCCAAAAATATTCAATGCGAAACCCGTAGGGATGCCACTGTTTGAAAAAATACAAATTTGTGTACATCAGAAAATGCGCCTTGAGGCATGGAACATATGTACCAAATATGCCAAAGATGTCTACAAAATTATCTCAGTTATTATTAAAAAACTGATTATTTTTGAAAACTTTGCCACCCTGTATCTCAAAAGATAAGGCGTTTAGGACATACGTCCATAGGAAGTTTTTTTCTTAAAATGTGTCTAAGAATTACCTCCTTAAATATTATCATATTTTTTGAACCGTCATACATATACATTTGACTCAACAAACATATGTGGTCCAAAATGCAGGACCTGTTACAGGATGGAAAAATAACAGTAGAAGAGTTCAAACAAGCTGTCCAACAGTGTTGCATGGGTAGAAGATATGAAGACTTTCCTCAGGCGATGAAAATGTTCATTGACTCTAATTTCAAAATGGTGGATATCAATGATGATGGAGTTATAGCAGCTGATGAATATAGATTCAATTGTATTACTAAATTTCCAATAGATGACGTTGAAATTGTAGATGAAGCTTTCAATAATATGCTCAATGTGAGTATGAATTTTTTCCCCCGAAACATCTAAATATAAGGTTATATGTTCCAAAAAAATTGGTATATTTAAGTAATATACTGATCAGAAAAAAATGTGAATATAGAGCAACATTGGAAAAATATCATTTGACTAAATTTGTTTCAAATTCAAAAAAGATTTTGGAGTTCTTCATCCATTTCAATATGAAGTTTATATTTGTCAGATCCCAGATTATTCTGAATTGAAGTCATCTAGGGGAATGCTTTTGCATTGCAAGAAATTTTCAGAATTTTCCTCACTTCTAAAGAAATTCATTAGTGATCTGAATTTCACAATAACTTCTTTAATGGGAAGTACACATTTTTTATTTTTTTCCCTTTGTTCGTTCCTTTACATACAAAACGTTTTTTGGGGGTTATGCTTAATGCTACGAAAACGGTGTCGAATATTGACTCAAATAAAATGTATTGGTGAAAAAGTGTGGGATAATCAATAACAATTTGTTTGCTTATATATACAGTTATAAAAGAGCTTCAAAGCTTTTATTTTGTGACTTTGGTATTCAAAATACCAAAATATATAAATAACGCGAAAAATTCACAGTGGATTTCGGACAATATAATGTTTTCAATACTCCTTGTCTTAAAGATTCTTAAGTAATCCGAAGAAATTAAATAAATCCATACCATTCTCGTTTCTCCGCTACACTTCTTTTTCGGGTAACCATTTGTTCCTTATTCTTTTCCACCTCGACTCTCTCTCTCTTCCACTTCTTAGCTCTTTGGTGGGATTTCTGTCTCAGAGTAATAAAAAATATACAGAGATGCCCTCCCTATACAAACACAACAGATTTGTAGACAACCAAGATATCCATCTCTCCGAAAGTAGAATGTGGACGAGAGGACTGAATCCAGGGGCGTGCGGAAAATATGTTGAGAAATTTAGAAGTATCTATAAATGAATATTTTTAGTTGCAATGATTTTATTATTACATTTTATTTAACTTCAAATTGTTTAGGTCAGTTTTGAACCACTTCCAGTAATCGACTTAAATTTGACAGGGGTTCATCATTTGTGTGACAACACATTAAGTTTTATATTATTACCCTGAGGATTTCTGTGCGTTCTGTGAATTGTGCTCATTGTCGTGTAGTTTAGCGGAATTCTTAACTTCTGTTGGGTATAAACATTGGAAGGGATCCATGAGCTCACCACTTTTCGTTTTTATCTTGGTTACTCTTAGGATTCTGCCTCTTCCATTATAAATCTTCAATACTTTTTCCAATCTCCATTCTGAATATTTGACATTTTCCTCCACAATCAGGACTATGTAATCGACCACCAATTCACAAGGCGTTTCTTGACCAGAATTGACTGGTGTCGCTATCAAAACAAAACATTTCAAATTAACAGACTGACAATTTTTTTTCAATTTGCAAAATTAGCAGATAACATCAACTTTTTTTCAATTTTCAGGATGATGATCGACGAAGAGGAGGCATAACACTATCAAGGTACCAAGAGTTGTATGCGGAGTTTTTAGGAAATCCGGAAGAGACACCTGCTGTGTATCTTTTTGGACCCCTCTCTGAATTTTTCTACAATGAAGATCTTGATGTCTAGAAGAAAATGTTCATTAGATATCAATCACTTGAATCTGAAATCAAAATGCCCAACTATTAGACCGATCGCTAACGACACTGTCGGTTGACAGATTAATGTAATTCTGCCGTTGGAAAAACCGTTTTATTATTGCAATTTGAAATTGAAATTGCCACATTTATGAGATTTTTGAACGATGAATCCGTTTATACATAGGTAAGAGGGAACAGAATGGCAAACGATTCCAGAACAATGTCAGTTTGAAGGTGATTGACAACTAAAACAAATCATTTTATATAATAGACAATGTAGACAAGTCCGAACTAGTGAAATTAAAACAATGTCACTTGTTCAAGACATATAATATTGAAAAGGATTACTTGTTCTCACGTAAACCGTCTTTCGATAAAATTTCTGATATCTACTTGACAAATTCTTTAAAATCATTTATAAGAGATGTGTGTTGATTTGTTGACAGTGTCAAATATTGCATTGGAAACTTCCTAATAGCTCAAATAACGTATTTATTTAAAAAGTTGAAACCAGAGCCCAAAAACGCACAAAAGAAGACATTAACATAGCGTATAGGACTGGTAACTCCTTGGTTAGACATATTGTTACGTTTTTCCGGTGGGTTTGACAATAATTGACGAAACTGAAAATTAAACTCAACTTTATTTCACTGCTACACTGACAATACAACACAAAAATTTCAACTGAAACTTTGGACTAACTCTCAAATGTTTATCACCCAATCAGAACACTTCGTATCGCACTTTCAAGTAAACTTCCTCGATCTGCGTGTTGACAGCGTTTATATATTGTAATGGGAGTCTCTGGAAGCCGATATGTAAATCCTTGTCTCGAAGCGATGTGACATCTAGAACGATCGCGAAACCCAATTCGAGTTGAGCGCGACCTTGACTAAGTCTCAATCGATTGACGAAGACCAGCGGCGGCCAGCGTAATTTTTTTCAAGGGATGATTTAAAACAATATAAAGAACAACATGGACAAAGATAATAAATCAGGTGTCTACAAACTAACATGTGAATTGTGCTCAATAGTTTGTATAGGAAAGAATTCAATAAATTCCAAAACGAAAATCTCCGAATATAGAAGAAGTTTTTAACTAAAGAAAGCCAATTCCACTCATGCATGTCACCTTTTAGTGAACAACCGCGATGGACATGGACGACATATTACATACAGGAAGTAAATGACAAAAATTAAACCAATTGGAATATCTGGAAATCAATAAACGGAAAAAATCATTTTTTTTTAAATGATCAATAAGCCAAAATGTCATCTTGAATTCTTTCAGGTTTGGAGACCAGCTCCCTACCCTTTCGACTGATTGTTGGAATGATCAATAAGGAATCCAAAACGAGCACTTTAACCTATAACAAAAATGCAGTACTCTTTTGTTCTACGCCAGATGTTCCAGTTTTACTTTTTTTTTAATCATAAAATGCCAAAAAATAACATATTCGTAGGTTAACTCATTTTTGGAATTTAATTGCCACAGTTCTTTCAAAACCTATCTGTTATACCATAATCAATCATTTATCTAATTGGGTTTTTCTGAATCTCAGATCCTAAATACACACATTCATGATCCAACACCAAACAGCGCTATTTCGGCCCGACAAGGTATCATCAGTGGTGTAAGGCTTAACCACGAATGCATTACCGAATTCAACTGTCTTTGAAGGACAAGCCTGGGTAAGTAAAGGCGATGACTTACAGCTTATCAAATCTAGGAAGAGACTTGAGAATTCTCTGACTTTATCTCTCTCTCTCTCTCTCTCTGCCGTACTCACCCTCTTTTAACGAACACACGTCTAGTGGGCGCGGGCGGGACCAACATAATGTTAACATTTCAATATTCCAAGTGGTTCAAATTACAAACATGGGATTGGGAAAATAGTCTCTTTTCCATATTTTTCAATAACGAAACGGTACTTCCATCAGCAGAATTATATAAATATGACTGTCAAGTGACAATCAACACTTCAATCATGAATATAGTAACGAAAACTGAATCTTCCTTCGTGTACAACCAAATAAATAGTTTCTGCTTCTATTGAAATTTGAAAACGGATATGATTAATATGAGTATATTTTATGTTCATTAATCTATCAGACATAACGTCATACACATCGTTCTTGAAAAAATGTTACCCGAGTATTTTTATCAATGTTTTTATGTCAGAACTAAGCTTCTAGGTGATTTATATACTGAACATAAGTTAGAATCTTTGTGTTGATAGGAAATTTTTGTTTTTTATTTTATTGGTAAATTTTATAATTTTTGTAAATAAAGATATTTTTCCTTCAATTCACAAGAACATATGATTCGCTTTCTGAAAAAGTTTGTTATGGAACGAATTTCGTTAACCTAATTTTTCCTTATTTCATGTTCTCATTTATGCACGAATACTTCTGAATACGGCCCCGTTCATTTTTGCGTAAATGCAGAAACCAGTCGCGAGCAAAAAAATGTCCTTACTCGAAATCGCTGTCGGCTCGCTGTAATAAAAACGCTCGTTATATCTACAGAAATGAAGTGTTGCGTGTGTTCCTATCTTCAAGGATAATAATTAAAATCCTACTGTGGCGGCCGCTAAAGATCTGCAAAACCGCCAGGGAGAAAAGTCACACGGTAAGGTGACTTGTTTCTGGCGTACCTATTCAAATTCGCTAATTTTATAAATACAGTCCACAAGAGTACTCTCGTTACTCAACAAACATATTTTGCCATATTTGTAGGTATTTAAAGGTAGGTATAATGGTTTGGTTGTATATTCTCTTTATCGTCGCTCAGGCAATCATTCTTATCTTACCCAATATACCCATCTTATTTTTTGGTACTTTTAATCATTTCACCAAGTATTTATGATGGTTTACCTGAACAAGGGTGGAATACTTTCCTCTCTTTCATTTCAAGGTTATGTGAGTCGGATATATTCATTCAAATTTGTCTCCTAACCTAACTTCGAACAGATAATGTTTATCCAAGTATAACATCATGTGACATCACCACAAAACACCCTGCGTACATCACCTCCTATGAGTGAACTAGTGGCTGGGTACATAACTTAGGACGCACCCAACAAAACGAAGAACAACTAACTCATAACCTGACATCCTCACATTTCTAATTTTTTGAATTTAGGTTCTTGGGGGGAATGGGAATATGCATGGAGAAAGGAACAATCCAGCTTAATTGAATTAAAATGATTGGATTTTATTAAAATGAACATAATGCTTGTCACCGCGCGATGGTTTTTCATTTTTTTGTATTTCATAATTGTTAAATTATTTCTAGTTCTCATAAATAACCTAGAATATATTGATTTTTTATTTTGCTATGATTGCACTGAAGATATTGAGAAAGAAAATACCACATTCGACTATATTATAGGTAAGTTTATTGAAGTCCCATTTTAAAGATGATAGAAATGTGTTTATTGATATTGAAGTGGGATGTGGATCAGCTGGGGCCCTTATAGCTAGACGACTATCTGATGAAAAAAATGTGACTGTGCTAGTTTTGGAAGCTGGAAATTATGGTAATAAATTATTGGACATTCCCACACTGGGTGTATTACTACAAAAAACTCAGTTCGATTGGCAGTATACCACAATATCACAAACGAACTCATGTTTAGCATTGAACAATAATGTAAGTAAATATGGAAAACTTCTGAAGGAAGAAAAGAAAAAAGAAATACATTAATGAGAGTTCTTCACAAAGATGTGTAAGATCATGCATGTTATATCTCACTTGTCAGTTTTTATCCATACAAACAAAAAATCTACTTTCAAATATATGAGCACAGAGTTACACATAAATCACTTTTTCTTATTCAGTTTATTCTCAAATATTCGTAATGGTATTGAAACAGATATCGTAATCAGGAATGCTACACAGCGTAATATAAGAAAAAGTATTGATATATTTCACTTGAATAATGTTTCACTAAACCCTTGCAAAAATTTCCCTAGTTTTTATTCAATGATGGAGAAAGAAATCTTTTTATTTTTTTTATTGATCTCTCCTAAAACATATTTCATTTTCAAGTAACTAAATATCTACTGAAGCTAACCTCTCAACATGACATCATTCTGTTAGTGGTTTTCAGAGGATCAGTATCAGTAGTTGTTCATATTGCAGTCATTTGAATTTTTTCTCAGCTACCACCAACAAATCCTTGTAACTAATTCATATCAGACTTTCTTCACATTGTTTAGTTTGAAACAGTTATAGCAGGGCTCATAAACCTAATTTATAGATTATGTAATGGGAATGTAAAGATAATGGTGAGTGCCAGATTAACATAAATTCATGCAGGCAAACACGGCAATATTTCGATAATGTGAAAGAAATAGGTTATTGTTACTGACAACCAATTATAGCATTGAATCTCTATTGCATGCACTTTCGACAGTGCTGAGTTTTCAGTAAGTTTTTCATCATCACTATTTGAAGTGTGCATGCTAAATTTCAACAATTTATTCTATTATGAACGAGGGTAAAACTGGAAAAAAATCTATGGAAGTTCAATTGTGTTATGATTACTTTGTATGATCTATAAAATGCCTTTCGTGTTAATGATCTTGTTAGCACATTAGTATGGATTTACTTATTCTATAAATTGGGTATTTACAATTAGTTTTTCAAAGTTATACTTATCTGAGTAACTTAAGGAAATCGTACAAATATGAAAGATATTGAGTGTCAATATAAATTTAAGTATTGGTTTGTTGATGGCAACCAAGTGGTTTCTATCTTTGCCCTTTGGTTATACCATACTTATGAGGGCCAAATAGTCCGAAACATCTATGGTATTCTAATAATAGAGTTAAAGACAGTCTACTTCTCACTTGTCCTAATCACCAGAAATGCAATACTCTTTTCAAAGCTCGCTTCACCAACTAAGTTAACGTGCCTTTAAGAAATGAGGAAAACTTAAAACTCCAACTTGATTGGTGAAATGCGCGTCGAGAAAAGTATTGCATTTTTGTTGATTGGGAAAAGAGCTTGTTTTGGATTGAATCATTATCTTCCTTCGAAATGTTTATTGCAGCTTATTCGATTTGTTTATAGTGAACTGTTTGATGAATAATGTCATAATTACTACTATATAGCGTAATGTATTACTTATAATACTTTTCACAAACTACACCTACCGATTTGATCTTCACAAACTTTATTTTCAAACATTTCACATATTTTGCTATCAAAATAGCTATTTCGTAGTGAATGACATACTGAAAGTTAATTCTTTACTCTAATTTTAATAAACCCCTCGTAATCACTAGTAACAACTACCTACACAGGTACTTCCTCGATCATAATTACCTTTAGAAAAAATAGAGCATCTACTAAACTTTTATATATGTAAGGTTTATACCTAGAGTATATTATGTCAATTTTACATCAATAATATGTATAGGAAGACTAAGATAACATAGGTATGTAGTTCATATGATGTTCCTGAATGCATATCCTAAATGTTCTGCCGGTTTGACCAATATATTATAATACTTATTTCTTCATGTCTACTTTGAATAACAACTGTTATTGTATCTCGTTGTTACTGTCACGACCGCTTTCCTGAGTGAAGTAGATGAGTAAAGAGAGTATGAGCCCAGACGGCGGCAGTTTTTAACCGAGAAATTCAAATTCGTTATTTTCGCGTGATTTTGAACATGGCGCGAAACTGAACCACGTGATGGTTGTGGTCTGTTGTCGGCTCTTTTTGAAATCACGGAACATTATATTCAGATTGAACGGTCACTTATCATAGAATCCAATATATCTGCTTTTTACGCCTCCTATAAATTTAATTTTGAATCATTGAATCAGTTTGGTGACGCAGATTTGAGAATGTACTGAACTTGGGACTGGATCGAAATGTGACGTAAGTGGGAATTTGAAAAAAAATTGGAATGACATTTGGATTCGATTTAGGTGACAGTAAATAAAAAATATTTAAGGATGAATTGAAACGGAGACTGACACGTTTGGCGCGATCTGAATTGAGTTCATTGGTAGATTGGAAGAATATTAGAAAAATGAAACAGTGAGATATGAATGAAAAAATCAATATACGAATGAAGAGTCCGATTGAATTTGGGCTAATTAATTATAAATAAATATAATGTTTTAATGCTAAGTTCTAACCATAGATTCTTTTTTTGAGTGCGATTAGTGTGGTACAGAAAAGACGTACTCGTTCACATATTTTGTATAATTTGAACCGAAGTTGCGGACTTTTAGTTTGATGATAATTTCTTCAATTATCAATTAGCTCTAAGCTATAAGAGGTTTATTTCGAAGTAATTAATTAATTGATAATGACAAGAGATTGCACCAGCCGCCAACGATTCAAAAATTTGAAATGAGCTGTGTTTTCACAATGGAATACATGAATCGATGACATGATTTAAATTCCCAATGACATAATTGTGAATTTACAATTTTGAATACGTGAAAGATTGGCTAGTATACCAATAAACGAATCGAATTTTGAACATTCATTGATTTGGGAAGAAAAAAAACAGTTATTTGGGAAGTACCGACTATAATATTAGTTTTGACATGCAATAAGTAAATCACATTGCCAAAGCAGTGTCTACTTAATGACGGAGAGGCGTAAAGAGATCGATATAATGATACAAGATCTAATATATAAATTTTGTTCACAGATATGAGGTATATTCAGGGAAATCAGTACGAGGAAAGGAAAAATTTCATTCTGAGAAAAATAGCTATTTTAAAAATTGAGGTAAAATTTCGAATAAGGCGCACCCTCCGATTAAAAAAAAATAGGTTTACAGAGGTATTTTGACATGTAGATTACGAATCCGAAAGACATAATTGATGCGCTTCCTTATTACCAGAGTTACAGTCCTCCAAAGTTCCCAAAATTTAATCCTTTCAGACTCATTTCGACACAACAAGAAATATAAAAAAATGCAAGTTTTTATTCACCATATCAACTTCACCTCTTATTTCACTTACTTGATACTTATCAGTTCAATTATCAAGAGTTGAACCTAAACCCAACAAAATCGACCATAGTAGCATTCGCCAAAAAAACAGAATGGTGGGCATGGGACCTCTAAACTTAGAGTTGAAGAGAAAAGTCTGTCGAGTAAGGACAAATATCTGGGAGTGGTATTAGATCCCAGGCTAACCTGAAAACAAACATTTTAAAGAAAGGCGAAAATAGCACTGATGCTGGTTAGACATAACTACGAAAATATGTGTGGCCTTGAAACTGATATGATATATTGGTGGTCAGGTTGCCGAATATAAAACATGCGACCGCTGTTAACAAACTAAGCAGAGTGCCAAGGCTTTCATGTTCGGGAATAATGGGAGCAATGAAAACCACTCCTAAAGCTGCATAGGAAACACCCTTGAATCTTCCTCCTTCACATCTAGTTATAATGGGGGAAGCAAGGGCGGGCCAATTCAGACTGAAAACCTCACATGGGGTCGGATAAAATAAAAATTTCGGAGTATGTGGAGGAACGAACAATAAACTTGATCTATGACCACATGACAATGAAATAAATGCTAGGCAACTTCACGGTTAAAGTTTTCAACCGCTAAGAGTGGAGTATGAATAGTCATTCATGAGAGCATGCGGGCCGAAAACTGAATATGGAACGGGGGCTGGAATTTACTGTATGGGGAGAAAGATTGATTTCAGTTACCCACTTGGTCAGTACACCAACAATCTTCCAGTTTTCTTGGAGCCAAGCTGCACTTGGGGCGCTGACGAACCAAAAAGTAGCATCCATATTAATCTGGGAATGCCGGGAAGAACTGAGGAAATTGGCGGTCAGGAATAGATTGACTAGATACTGGGTGCCAGGACACTTAGGCATCGCAGGCAACAAAACAAGCCGATGAGCGTGCCAGACACGGATCATCAACTCCGTATATGGGTCCTGAACCAGCTGTGGGTGTACCAAAATCTTTGATAGAAAATGGATGTGCTGATATTTTGTTGATACATATTCTTGACAGTGACTTTTCATGGGCAGGACATTGTTTTTTGAACATAAAAACAGTCTTCTACGAAGTCTGATATTAATAATGTAATATCCTCTTCATAATTTTTGTGAAAATCAATTCAAGAATTACAATAGGTCATAATTGTCATTATTCTGTTTTAGGCAAGTACTTGGCCAATGGGAAAGATTGTTGGAGGAACTGGTATGCTGAACAATATGATTTATGTGAGGGGACATTCAGAAGATTTCAATGACTGGTTCAAAAATAAAGAGGGATATTCATTTGAAAATGACATCTTACCTTATTTCACAAAACTCGAACGGGGGAATTCTGAAGGTAATAACAAAACTTGATCTATTTTGACATCTCTTTTTATTTTATTGGTATGTTATTTCTTATTCAGTATTTTTATCAGTAAACGAAGATGCCATCTATGGGGGTCGAAAGAAGACTCAATCCTCGAATATCAAAGATAAACAAGGCTCCCCAAGGCAATCAGTTGTAAGGCTGAGCTTCGACATCGGTCGCCGAAAGATATTTGTCCTCGGTCTTTCACTTCAGCTTTCACTGCAAGACATCTAGATGGGCTCGTGATATAACATCAGAGGGCGCTGTTCCAACCCACCAGGTCTCATCAGTGATGCTAGGCTGAACCACTAACTATCCTATCAAATAAAACTGAGCCCTGAAGATTGAGTTTTCTGTAGATCCCATAGAGGGCATCTTCAAAGCTTGTTCTTTTTAGGGCAGTTCAGTAGTTTAGCCTAGCACCACTGATGAGGTCCAGCGGGTCGAAACAGCACTATCTGTCCATCACAAGTAAAGTCAATCATAAAAAATGAACAATAACATCAGGCAAGGCAACTATTCGAAACCACATCCCAAAAATGAAGAGTTTGCTGTTCAACACCTGCAGCAAATGCATTGTTGAACTCAACTGACTTTGAAGTGCAAGCCTGAGTAAGAGAAGGCAGTGATATCTTCCCTTATGAAGCATATATGGAATTGTTAGAAGTCTCAATCCACGATAATAATTGCAAAGCTAAGCTTCGACATCGACCGCCTACGCAGTTTTCTCTGCAAGGCAAGTAGTTGAAACCATAGTTTTGCGCGAGTTTTTCCCACACACGTTTGATATTGCTGTAAATTATCCCTTGAAAAAATAACGCCGCCCGCCACTGGTCTTTACCGGTTGACTGTGACTTAGCTTAGGTGCGCTAAAGCCTACTTGTATTCTCGATCCTTCTGTCGCGCCGCTTCGGGAATATTTATACCGGCTTCTGAAGACTATATATAAGCACTACCAATAGACAGAGGAGGGTGTCAAGTTGAAAGTGCGGTACGAAGTGAGCTAATGAAGCGATAGACATTTAAGTTTTAGTCTGAAGCTCAGATATAATCTTTGAGATGTATTAGTATTGTAGTAGTGAAATAAAATTGGGTTCGATTGTACAGTGTAGTCAATTATTGTCGAACTCTCGGGAAAATAACAATATTCTCTGGACCATTCTCAATGTTTTATTGAAAACGGACATGGATATTTCATGGTGTCGGTTTTCTTTCTACACCTGAATTCATTGACGTTTCTGAAAAAAATCATCTCAAAAATATTTACATCAAGTCGACAAATTATAAAGTTGAATAATATTGAAAAACTTAAAAAATTATTTTGAAAACGGAACTAATTCGTAAAAGAAAAAATCTATTAGGGAACTAAATCAAAATGTTTAAGGTCTGGGTAATCTATGAGGAAAATAGATAACCTGATATAAATGTAAAATTTTGATGGTTCGAATGATATCATAATGGGTGGGAAAAAATGGACCAATGAGGTGGCCCGCAAAATCAAGAGATTTAACACTGCTCGATTTGATCTTTCATCTCCCAGAACTAGTTCTCTAGAATCTCCGAATGGTACTACCCTTCTTGTGATAAATTTTCTCTATAGTGTAATTTCATCACAAAAATAAAGCTTGTACAATCTAAAATAAATTTTTCTTTGTGAAAGTTACGAACTGAAAATGAAGACGTCAATATCTCGGCCTTTAACGATAATAATGTTTTGAACTGGCCCAGTTTTCAGTAATTTCCATACCAAAGTGGTTTTGGAACTATAATCTATACTTAAGACTATCTATACTTGAGAATTGAAAAGTTCCCGAAATACTGAATCTTTTTTTTTATTTAGGTCTCCACCGCGGCTCGATATTTTTTGGAAATCCTACCTTCACTTCTAAACTTGCAAATGTTATTCTTGAGGCAGCGAAAACACTTGGTTTTACAATTTCATCAAATACCGAGGATTGCAAAATAGGTGAGTAGGTAGTGATCAGACTATGAGGAAGTCATTTCCAAGATTTGGTTGTAGGTCCAAGTCAATATAAATAGCTATTGAGTCGAGTCTGCTCATGTTTAGAATGTTGGATTCTGTACGATATAAGTTGACAAAACTCTATTAGTAACACAGATAGAGTGGACACGAATTGTTTATAAGTAAATCGATTTTGTACATTCTCTACCTTTGCAGTAATATATATGTACTTGTATATATAAAGAAATATAAAGGTTTCAATCACAAAACAGTGAACATGACAGTGACTTCTGAAAATTTCGAACTTTCTTCGTGTCATTCTTAATTAAAACAAATCTCGATTTTTTTTTTATTACATGCGTACGGCATTGACGATATTCACAACTCATTTTTCTATGTCTACTCTAGTTCATGATCGTTTGCTTGTTTCCACGTTTTCTTTATATTCAAAATAAATTTGGTTGCTTCATGCCAAAACATTATTACTGAGATGAAAACGAAAAATTGGTTGTTTGCACATTTATTTATACTGTATTTGAATTCATCTTCAGACTGGTCTAGTTCTTTCAAAGATTTCGGAAATACAGCATAATCAAAACACAGTATCCACTCTTTTTTTTCATCTTTTGTGTGCTTGTTCAATAAATAATCGATTGTTCATATATTGTGTTTTGGCGTGGAGCAGTCATATTCGTTCCTTTACTGTCAAGATGTTCACTCTTGTTCACAATATCATGGTGAATTATGTTTTTCAGTTATTGCATCTTACCGCATCTTAGTTTTCATTTTTTTGAAACTTACTTCTTGAAAAAATATTTTCTTTTGAATTGAAATGGGTATATTTTTTAAAAAAGATTAGTTTCTGAGAAGAGAAGCGTTTTGGCTTTCTACTTCTCCATCTTCAGACACAAAAAATGTGGAAACCTTCCGACGGCTGTTATTATTGAACATGCCTGAAGAAACTATTGAACAGTGAAACACATGTCTGTTAGGTAAAAATTTCACAATAAATTGTTATTTAATCAAATACGTTACTCATAAATAGTTGCTTCTTTCACTTCATCTGGAGTAAGTAATTTCTCTAGTAAGTGTTTAAACCTTTAAACGCATTGATGGCTCTTAAAAATTAGCAATTGACATGATAAGTCGAAGATGAGATGAGAACCTCTCTATTTCAGGAATGGCTTCTACTAAATTTTCATCTTTAAATATGAGTGCCACATATTCATCGAGTCCTTTTTTTAATATCACCAGTCTAATTCGTTTTTTCTTTGAACAACGTTTTCTCGTCACTTCTGAGAAAGAACAATAGTCAAATAAACCAACGACTGTATTCTGACCATTCACAAACTGAATTATCTCTTTTTGCTGCTACATTGTCTTTCGTTGAAATCCAATGCCATTCTGATTCATCAGATATATTCAAAATTTCGCATATTTTATGACTAACATACGACTTCAATTTTTGAAGATCAGACTTCAACCAACTGATAGTTCAGCAGCCTACCCAATGATAACGATGATCAATTTGAATAATATGTTCCTTCTTGATGGTGTTAGCGAACAGGGCTTCTAAAACTACTGCTCGCAGTTATAGTCTCGGAATAGAAACAGTTTTCAATGGACTCACACCAGATTTTGCCATTATGAAGCTATTGTATACATCCTGGTTTGATATTGCCCTAAAATAAGAAACTGAAGCATACACTTTTGAATTGGCATCACAAAAGGTATGTAACTTCCTTATTATCACCCAGGTGGCATTGTTCTCGATAATCTGATTCTTTCATCCATTTAACTCATTTTTCATTGACTCTTCTAAATTCTGTCCTGAATCAGTTTAACAATTTTCTTGTGGATTTCTGCAACTTCACTCATCAAATTCATGGCTTCTTCTACTCTATCTACGCTGTCCAAGTAATCATCCATATCATAATGTTCCAAAATTACCTTTACTGCCTCAGGATATTCAGACTCTTTCGTCTGAATATTTTGAGCTTTCTCATGATGAATAGAGCAGACGCTGGAGACGTTACAGCAAAAATTACAAATGTCATTTCTGTTTAAAAAAAAAAATCTGTTTAAAATCTGTTTTTCCGTTAACCAGCTGTCGCACAACCCTCAGAAGTCGAAACTTGTGCGAGCCAAGGATTAACGAGGTCTTACCTTTTAACGTGTGATTCCTAACACGGGTTGTCGGTAGCAAGTGAAGATCGATCGTTCAGACTAGGGCTTGAACCACTGACCAGCACGGCAGTCAATTCGAGTGAGTGAACAAAGCACCCACACCGAACCGCTTGGCTACCGACTGGAATTTTCTATCTTTTTCTGGTATGTTGACTCTGTGGAATATATCCTTCATGTAACGTGTTAATCCAATTTTTTCAGTATGAACTTGAATAATACTCCCAATAAATAATTTAGAAAATCAGGACATTAGAATAAAGAAAATAACTTTTGTCTAATTTCACTAAGTTTATTATTTGTTACAACCGGTTTCGGTTTATTAGTCCATTGAAAATGGTATAATATTCTATATTCAATATGAATTTCCAAAAGTTAAAATCAGGACATTTCAAAACCATGTTCTCTATACTGATACTATTTTGTTTAAAGGCAGCATCAAAACAAATCATACTTTTCTTGTTTGTCATTAACTACCCCCATTACTATTTCCGCATAGGTAATCATTGTTTTCATTCTCTTCCACCTTTTTGAAGTATTCCTGGGAAAAAGTTGTATTTTTTGAAAATTTTATCCATTATCCTAGGACGATATTCAGCTGCCAACTTGGATTTTGGTAAAGAGTCATCGTCTTCTTTCCATAAAAGTTCTATCTCCTATCTGTTTCCTACTATACTGGCTGTTTCTTCTAATAATTTTAATGCTCTTGACTCTTTTGCAGATATTTATTCATTTTTCACCTATTTCAAATGACTTTTTAATTAATATATGTAATGCATCATGATGAACATGTAAAATGAAATCATTGTTTATACATCTCGTCCTCTATCTTCTTCTTACTATCTCTTCCTTTCTATACTCTGTTCACTATGTTTGGTTATACAGGAAAAGATGTACTATTTAGTTTGCTGGCTACAACACAAGCTTGCTTAGGTAGCCGTAACTTTCATTATAATTGTATGATCTTTACATTTCATGCATCTTTATTTTCATTTGTATTTTATTTCATTTTATTTTTTTATCGTTTTGTCATAGACGACTATGTATTTTGTCTTATTACTGAATTGCATAAATATACTTACTTACTTACATCCACGATGAATAATAGTGCCGGGAATAACACAATCAAGTTTAGTTTATGACAATATCTGGAATTATCCCCACCCTCTATAATTTCTTGCATTATAAGAGAACATGATGTAAACCGTTACTTCATTCTGCTTGTTTTGACAGCATTTAGAAACATTTTTATTTTTGGTATTACATTACTTGCAATATATTTTACAGTATCTTTGTCATTTGACGTCATCTTGAAATTTGACCTGGCAAAAACGAAATATGGTGATTAAAAATTCGGAAAGCGAATAAAAACATTTCTCCAATAAAAAATGTTTCAAGCCTTTTTTGAAATGTCTCACATTTTCATGCTGTTCAATGATATCTGGGAGTTTGTTAAAAATTCGTGGCCCTATGACAAACATAAACTTTATCTATATACCAAACATTCCAGTTGCATTTTCAGTTCAAGACAATGTGAAATGTAGCAGATATTTTCTGTTAATTAATGAAACATTATGATGTTCATCATTTCACCTAACTGTTTTTTCCTATTCAACTAATGATATACTCTCTGTTGTTCTAGGATTTGGTTTACCGAAAAAGAATATACGGAATGGAGAACGTTGGACACCATCACACACATTGATTCATTTAAATAAACCAAATTTATTCCTTCGCACCAACAGAGTGGTTGAGAAAGTGATTTTTCATGAAAATTTTGAAGCACGTGGCGTTCAGTACAGATATTCAAACAAACATTATTTCGCGAAAGCATCCAAAGGCGTTATCTTATCTGCTGGAGTAGTGGGAACGCCTAAAATACTGTTACTTTCTGGCATAGGTCCAAAAACGCATTTGGATGAAGTGCATATCACATCAAAAATTAATCTTCCAGTTGGCGAAAACTTACAGGATCATATTACTACTGGATTTGATCTCATAATGTTAAATCAAACCCTCGGCATCGGCATTGAACAGATGTTGTCTCCATATTCTGCATTCAACTACTTTTGGAATGGTGCTGGACCATGGACATTCAGTGGATGTGAAGTCCTAGCATTTTGTGATGTTAATTTAGATGTCACTGATCAAAATGATCATATTCGCCCTGATATTCAATTAATGGTTATGCCTCTAAGCCTTAATGAAGACAGCGGCGTTCATTTGCGACAGTTAATTGGTATAACTGATACTACATGGCATAATTATTTTGCCAAATGGAACCATACAGCTATAACAATCTTGCCTATACTTTTACATCCAAAGAGTAGAGGTACAGTTCGTTTGAAAGACTCTAATTTTGAGAGTAAACCTCTCATTGATCCAAATTATTTGAGCCATCAGGATGATATTGATGTTCTTCTGAAAGGTATCGAACTGATTAAAAAGATAGCAAACACCAAGGAAATGAAAATGTTAGGTGCCAAGCTTAATGAAAATGTGATTCCTGGGTGTAACGATTATACCTTTGGAACAAACTTGTATTGGGAATGTTACATCAGACACCTGACAATAACTACCTACCATCCTGTTGGTACATGCAAAATGGGGCGTGAAGAGGATTCAACAACTGTTGTAAATTATGAGTTTGAAGTCAAAGGGACCAATAATTTATTCATTGTAGATGGATCAATTCTACCTAGCTTGCCTAGTGGAAATGTTAATGGTGCCATTTTAACGTTAGCTGAAATGGCAAGTGATAGACTGAAACTGAGACACTTTCTGAGTGTTGGAAAGTGTAGAAATTTAGAAATATTCCTGAAACCATCTTTTTGTCATACGTATTAAGACAAACACTTTTGTAAATTATTATTTTATTTCATATCTTTTCAACTAATGAAAAACTTAAAATTATAAACGCAATACTGCTTCAAGTTGTTTTGTTCTTGAACATATCGTGAACACGAAAACGATAAACACAGGTAAATTCTTGATTTCCATAATTGTCCAGAATATGCAGTTCAACATATTCAAATGGAACGTATGTTAAATTACTGTTGATCATGAACGTTTGGTAAGGTCTTCCCTTCTGGTCATAAGTGAACATTCCAAGTAATACTCCTGAATCATCGTTTGGGTTTTGAAGCCCCTGAAATGAAGGAAATATTAGCTACTAAATTCGCTCTTTACCAAAAAAATGAAAGCTTCCTAAAAATGTATTTCATAAACTGACGGTATTTGTTTGATGTTCAATAATTAATAAACAAATAAGTCGACAAAATTCAACTCACAAACACTTCAAAATTCTTCGGTGCACTCTCGCCGTTATCAAGCAATTTGACATGATCCATTGTAACTGCTTTAATGGTGATTTTTCTGCCTAGTTTTATTCGGATTCTCCCTTCAGATCCATGGAAAGCAAAACAGTTACCAGGTAAGTTTTCAGGTTGCAATAGCGATTCTGGATCGGACATGACGTTAAAATTTAGCAAACTGAAGAAATTAATAGATTTGTTAGCAGGGTAAGGGCTTGTGCAGGGAGTTGAAATTACCGATCCATATGCATATACCGAGGCATAATCTGAAACATTCAATAAATTGTACAATTGAAAATTCATTGAATACATATCAGTATTGGTAATTGGTGAATAAATTTTGAAAATATTTCGAGTAAAAGTTGAATTGTCAACTTCCCGCTAAGAAAATTCAAATTTTCGAAAATCGACGCATTCAATAGATAGTGTCATTTAAAAATTTCAATTCAAGTGATTTCGTCAAATAATTTTTAAAATTTTGTGCTCGAAGAAGTGAGAAGTTGTAAGGGTTAACCGTTTTTTAGAATTATTTTATTTCTCTTCAACTTATGGGTACGCAAATTACACATAAAAAAAGTATTCCCACTGAAATATGCTCGATCAAATCCGAAATTGATAGTAAATGGAAATTTGCAATCAGGGCTTTCTGATTTATAGATAGCCATATTATTATATTTGTGCGACTATTCTTTTACTACCAAAGAATCAAATCTGAAATTGATAGTAAATGGAAATTTGCAATCAGGGCTTTCTGATTTATAGATAGCCATATTATTATATTTGTGCGACTATTCTTTTACTACCAAAGTACTACTACTGAAAACATATGTATCTAAAAAAATGCAAACTCCTCAGAAATAGCTGTCCACAATGCTTACGAATAATTAGTGAAAGTATCTCAATTGAAGTTAAGAATACCTACACATTGACCATATTGTGAAATTGTACTCTTACCGAATAGTCCAATTTTGTCAGCGTCATACATATCCAAAGCTTCCTCAACTTTCTTATCAAAAATGGATTCCTGTTGAAAATAAATTTTAGCGAATAGTTCTTCGAGGTGTTTCCTAAAGTAGAAAAAGTGTCAGAACAGTTTGAACATGACTTCATTATACTACAAAATACTGTACAGCTTCATCATGCATAGTGTTGTGAATAATACCCTGAAAAAAAATAACGCCGGCTGCCGCTGGTCAAGGTCGACTCTGACTTGGTCAAGGTCGCGCTCAACGCTACTTGCATTTCTCGATCGTTCTAGGTGTCGCGTCGCTTCGAGAAGATTTCTGTCGGCTTCCAGAGACTTCCATTAGGATATATAAGCACTACCGACAGGCAGATGGAGGAAGTCTAGTTGAAAGTGCGGTATAAAGTGAGTTGATAAGACGATAGACATTTGAGAATCAGTCTGAAGTTCAGTTAAAGTTTTTGTGTTGTATTGGCAGTGTAGTAGTGAAATTAAGTTGAGTTTAATTGTACAGTGTTGTCAATTATTGTCAAACCCACAAAACAATATGTCGTTTCAAAATATTTTGGAAACTGTGCACAGTATCCCTTATACTTTGCAAAGGTAACAATCCTAAGGCTCCTATTTTGAACTGGCCCAGCCTTCGAAAAGAATTTTAGCGGCACTGTGAGTGTCTAAAATGTCCTGAAGTCCTCTAGACTGTTTGACCAAGATGACAGATTGACAGAGAACTACGGTTAATCGCCTGAATCCCTCTCCATATACATATACCTATCCATACAATCTCACCTCCAGATATTGGTTTTTTCCATATTGTCCTTGAGTGTTTTCATCTCATCCAGAATATTTTTTATGTACATGGGCTCTGTTTGGTTTTTTGGTTCATCGATATTTGTATTATACGGAAATATATTCTTCGTGAAGTTATTTTCATAGTCTGAAATGTAGGATAATTTCGATTAATGAACTCATGAGCACAGTATCGCAAGCCAAGATAATCGCACCTTAGACCGATGTGTCGCTTGAATCTGTTAATTTTCTGAAGGAAAACGTAAAATATAAATGTCACGAATTGGACTTATCTTTCGAAAAACAGGAGAAGGCACAAATGGTGGGCCCACCGTGAACCGCATCCATCTGAATGTAGAAAACTATGTATTTATATACATTTGTCGATAGCTTGAACCTGACTTAAATATCTAAATGGGATCATTTTGATTAAGTACTAGAGCTGAGTTTCGACTTTTATGATATATTCTAGATTTTTATTTAAGACCCAGGAACTGAAGGTTAACGACTATAAATAACGACGTGTGTTTGCTGAATGGGATCTGTGTTGTCAACTGACCCTGATTTTCATCGAAAAATCATCTTCAGTTATGAGGCCCATTTTCGGATGGATAGATACGTGAACAAACAAAATTGTCGAATTTGAGACCAAATCAAACCACATGAGATCTAAGAGCGTTCAATAAATCCCGAAAAAGTTGGCTCAAAGCCAACATAACTCATGCCCCTCCCTCAAGATGTGCAGTAGATGTGTAGAACTCTGTTATTAGTCTGTTAGATTATTCGAGCCGTAAACATCAAAATTAAGGACCGAATTCAGTTAGTGATGGAGTTTAAAAGTAAGTTGCATAAACACCGGCCATGACTCAGTCCTTTAGCTGTACATACTACTGAATATTTTTATGTCTAATGTGAATTTCAGTTAAGAACTGAATTTAAATAAACAGGCAGGCCGAACTTGTATGGAGATTTCTCATTTTTCAAAAAATGAAGGTGTGGACATAGCTTATATAAAATCAATAACTTGAGCATGTATATTAAAAAGATAAAACTCTAATACAGATCGAAACGTGTCTAAAGACTGTATCGAGGAGAGATACATACGTACAAAAAAATTAATATTTCGAAAAAAATTCGAAACATTCATCTCTCCCAACTACCTATACAGTAGATTCTGGTTAATGCCTGCCGGAAAACAACTACTTCCTCGGCTAATATCACGTTGGATAATAAATTATATCCGACAGACATTTATGCAAGATACCTCAGAGAGGTTAGTCTCGCAGATGTTTCTCTTTCATCCAGCATCAGGACAATGCTGAAATTATTCGAGTAGGTCAACTACAGAGCGGTTTCGAGGTGTTACCCCTCATCAGTGCAGGATAGATCCGACCCAGACAGCAAAGTGTCTGAGACTCGATTATTTCAACGAGACTCCATTGTATGAAACCTTCTAAGAAAGACTAGTAGTTTCTAAGGAATCCAGTCCTGATTAAATGATAAAGGCATAAAAACTCCATATGTTACTATTAGACTCTCCCGTCAAAATTTTTCTATATACATGTACTATACATCGATGTGGTTCTGGGTGGGACTTCCTGTATGATATTCTTGAAAAAAATTATTGATTTTTGAGTCAAAAACATTTCATATTTAGTATATGAATAAATATTACCTATTGTCTATTACTTACAATATAAAGTTATTCCACAAATTCCGATGGAAAACAAGACTGCCAGCATATGAGTTATAACTGCAACAAAAATAAAAGAGTATTCATCATCATTATTTTATTAACTGAAATATATTTGTTGCTTTCTGAAATACCAATGAGAGTTAATAAAAAATTTGAATGAAGTAGATTCACTCGGATCCATGCTTGATGTAAGTGTTTGGACTATGTACAATTCCATAATAATAGGCACTTAATTCTCAGATATATTGCTTTGGAATGAAAACGTTGTTATTCTATATATTTTATCATCATTTTTTCCTTATATGTTTAGTATAATTACCGTACGCCATTGCAAAAGACAAATTAAAACAAAAACGTCAGTCATTTCTGAAAATTTAGTGCCTACTCTTTTGGAATTATAGCATAGGTAAGTGAAAACTATCCTAAAAAGTTTCCATCTATTTCCATCGAGATGATGTACTTATTCTTTTGCTACTACGACCTTGCATAGAACATCCGCTGTGGAGATTTAACATTAGTTGTAGTTTTCCTCAATTTATGTAGTGACGCAAAATAAATATTTACATTTTATAGTATTACGCCCAAGTTTTTTTTAAGTTCCACCTTTATAGATGTGACGATTGAAAACATTTATACACATTGAGAGTTATAAAGTGGTTAAATAAAGAAAACGTTGTTCTTTGGAGATCTCTCCCAAAACACGTTTCAAAATTCACTAATTAAACAATTGTGATGATACACATCAGTGAAGTTGTCGCCAAGCAGGCTAATTTATATCGAATGATTCTTTTTTTGGTCCATATGGAAAAAATTAAATTGGTGATGTTTTTTGGGGAGCGAAACATTAGATTTTAAGTCTGTAAACGCCAACTCGTGCAGCTTGAAAAGTGGCGATGAAAAAGTAAGTATTTTTGTTTTTTAATATCATTTCAAATAAATTTGCAAATTTTGGTTCTTTTTGGAATGTCTCTGGAACTAACAGAAATTATCTGTTTAAAAAAAACTGTTTTTCCGTTAACCAGCTGTCGCACCTCTACGAACGACAACCCTCAGAAGTCGAAACTTCTGTGAGCTGAGGAATAACGAGGTCTTATTTTTTAACACGTAATTCCTAACACCTGAAACAGCCCAAAAATTCGCAATGATGATGTTAATGAACGCACTGGTTTGCGAAATTTCGTTCCGGAGATTTTAGCCTTGATGATGATGAGGCCCCGAAGTGGTCAACCTACAGTACGTAGGATGGCGGAGAAACTGGGTGTCAGCTCCCATGCGGTTTTTCATAGTTTAAACAGCTCGAAAAGTGGGTTCAAAAAGTGGGCTTTTGCGCCACCAAAATGATTATTTTTTGGATCGTCACCTGTGATGAAAAGTGGATCCTCTACGACAACAACAGACGTTCAGGACAGTGGTTGGACACTGATCTCACCCAAGCACTTCTCAAAGGCGAAAACCCATTAAAAAGACCACGGTTACTGTATGGAGGTCACTATAACTATCTGCAACCGGACCAAATCATCATTGTGTGGAAATCGACGAAAGGACATTGCGTCAACAGTGGAGGCCCGATTCTGCTTCACGACAACGCCCGTCCGCACGTTTACAAATCACCGTTCGAAAATTAAACGAATTGGGCGACGAAGTTCTGCCTCAGCCACCATACTCCCCAGACCCAGGTCATGATATAAATGCCAGCCTCGAGATTTACCTGTGTAAAGAAACAAGCATATAAAATGTACGTTGATTACCTATTCTAAAAAAAAAAGTTCTTATTTTATATAGGTACCTACATCTCGCGACAAGATTATACGCATATCATTCAGGTTATTTCTCTTTTAGAGCCTTTTAACAAAAACTTGGTCTCAAGAATGTTTTTTATCAGTTCGACGGCTGAACAAATTAAATTAGGTTAGCATTTCTACTCAACTTCCGATTCCCAATCGAGCTGATTTTTGCTAACACGTCAAATTATGATCACTAAACAATTACAATACGTGAAAAACTAACGCAATCGTTAGAATATTATTCGTTAATTCTACTTACTCTATCCAAAATCCGACGACAGTCTCTACCTCTACGTAAGAAAACTGTGACTGAAAAAGTATGGCTCACTTCACATAAAACAATAATTCCTAATTTTCAATATTTCTCATTCATAAAAATCGTATTCTCAACTTACCTGTACAACAGCATGATTGCCTCGATCTTTGTCTTGTGTAAATGTAAGGATCATAACCGGGAAAGAAATCGATTGGATCTAAATCCATGGTTGATCTATTTACTGGAAAAAATGTTATACATATAATTTACCACGGGCGCCTGTACTTCTTACCGGAATAAACAATTTTGGAATAAGTTATATTGGTAGGTAAAATCATCAAAGCTTTTTGATATTCTTTAACTTTACCAAATATATACCACATTACTGTAAAACTATATTTCATATGAAACAAATGAGTCGAAATGTAAAATGTTCCTTTGCCCACTTGCCATGAATTTTTCAGAAGATACACAGTCTTTTAATAGTAGTCCGTCTACCAAAAGTTTTCAGTAACTTTTCCGTTATTTGACATCTCGAGCACAAACTACCGTCAAAATATATATGCTTGCCAACAACCTAAAAGACGAATTTTCACATTTTGAACAGAAACTGAGAAGCTAAAACAAGAGAAGAAGTTCCACTGTTCTATTGGCGAAACGAACTTGGATGTTTGCTCCCTCTATATTTTCATATTATATTATATTACAGCAGCACAGTTGATGTTTGGATGTTTCCCTACTCGTGGTAGTGTTCAATATTTGGAGTGTGAACTTGGCTGTCAAATTCCGAATCGGCCCGATCTATCAGTGGCGTCCAGAAAACAGTCAACTTCAGAAATACATATTTTCTATTATTGGTTGTAGTCGAGTTGAGTATCATTTTCTTATATCATCAATTCCAATTATTGGAGAAATATTCTCTATCACTTCTGAAAAATACGTGCAGGATCAGTAATAAGAAAAAAGTTAAAATGATTTTTATTGATACCTAGTCAATGAATTTTACTAATTTTGCAAGAAAATATTGCTGAATCTGCAGTCTGGAAAATTCCAGGAAAAATTCAGAATTAGTTTAAATTATTTTGCATCCTACTGTCAAGTTGAAAAATACTTTTTTTACATGTATTTCATGGATTCTACCGGTTTTAAAAAGAATATATTTCTAGATGTATATATAGAGTATATTTCTAGAAAAATACAAACCCGATTATATTGAGAAATTAAGGATTCATTTTCAATTATTTCGCAACCTATTGTCGAATCGAAAAACTATATTTCAGTTAGAACTCCATAAAATCAACCTGACATCCTCTATCTGCCATGTAGAAAAATCCAGAACCAGAATAGAAAAATATTTCAGATTTTATAAAATCGTTTCGCAAAATACCGTAAGTTGAAAAATACTTTTTCTGTTCATATGGGAAAAACCAAAGATCAAAGGAGTAGTTCTTAGCAGTTTTTAGAACGGAAAATCTGACTGGAAATATATGTAAAGCGTTTTTCCAATACTCGAAGCAGTTTTTATATGCATGTTTTGGTATGTCATCTCCCCAATCGTCACAAAACGTCGTACTTTCATAGGTCTACAATCTTGGGAATAGGAAAAAGTCGCAGGGGACCAAATCTGGTGAATACCGTGGCTGAGGCCGAGTGAATAGTTTTCCCACAATACCAGACGTTTCTTCGTATTGCTTCTCGCAAGCGAGCATAACTTCAAGATTATAGTTCTTATTGACCGTGCGATCTCTTGGCACTACGCCACGGTAATCGAAAAAAAGGAATGAGCAAAACCTTGACATTTCATCGAACTTTTGACGTGCTTTTTTTGGTCTTGGCCTGGTCTCTTTCTTTGGGACGATTGGACTCTGCTTTCGATATCATAATCATATACTCATGATTCGTCATCAAACAATTACGGAGCGATGCTTCTTTTGGTCGATATTCAGCAATTTCGGAACGAACTTCGTTGTCACACGCTTCGTGCCCAAAATTTACGAAAAAATTACATGGCATGAGCCAACCAATATGCCAACATCCTCAGCACCTTCTCTAATAGCGATTCGACGATTTTCGATAACAATTTTCTTCACTTTGTCAACATTTTCATCGGTTGTTGATGTGCTAGTTGGGGCGTCCAGGGCGAGTGTCGTCATTCACATTGTCTTGACCTTCTGGGAAAAGCTTGTACCACTCGTAAACATTTTTTTTTTAAACTCAAGGGTACAATCTTCGTATGCCACTATCAACATTTCAAGTATTTTTAGCTTTTAATTCCATTTTTCTCACAAAATTTTAGCAAATTCTTTGATCCATTTCTTTCGATAGCAAAAAATCGCCGATCACGCAAAACACGCAAAACTTTTATGCCTCTCACCAACAAACGAAACATGTTAAACAGCAGAAACCGTGAACATATGTTCGAAACGAGTGTACCAACAAAAAAAAAATAAAAAAATCGCCAATAGAATGAAGGTACGTAGACCGCGAAATTTGTACAGTCAAATTTTTTGAACAAACCCCTTGTATATCATTTCTGGTTGCTGACGTAATTACCAAGCAGCATCCCAATCACCTGTGTCTCTCAACTTCCCAAGCTATGCATTAGCAGTTGATGAAAATACAATAAGCACAATGTTTTGACAACTTTTCACAAATGCTCATTTACTTTCTGCAATTATTTCAGGAATGGTATACACTTCATGTAAAAACTTTTTCAAAGGGTTTCCTCTCTTTCGGATCTAATGACGTATCTTCACCAGCAATGTTGCTGCTGTCATCTTTGAAAGCTAAATCGTAAATTCTCCGAAAGAATGTTAAGTATACCAAATTTAATAGTATTCTTCACAGAAACAGTTTATCATCAGGCTGCAATTTCAAGCGAATGACATTGAATTTATTTGCGATTATTTAATGTTAATCGGTCGAAATGACCACTTATATTTCAATTGTGACAAGGTTATTGCGAGTGAAAGGGAAAACATGTCCGATGAAGAACTCTTAAACCGCTTAGTTCGACAGAAAAAATTTCCAACCCCATTTCCCATAAATTTGAAAATTAACCTTGCAGGTCGGCAGAAATTCTTGCAGAACGGGTCTCCCAGACATGAATCTCGACCAGGTTAATCATTTTCGACAGAAAAAATTTCCAATCCCCACCCAAAAATCACATAAACGTAATTATTCTTGCCAATATTTTCACCTTCGTTACCCAAAGTGAAATATCTCGAAGACAAAATAAGCTCATGACATTCAGAAATGATATAAATAAAATTGGTGAAGATGTAGAAAATTTTATTTTCGATATTGCCAAAGAAGTAGTATCGAAAACTGATGGCTTTTTCGACTCAGATTATGAGATTGACTACGAAGATGGTTCAAATGAAGAAACATCCGATTCACCGCAACAAAGTGATGAAATTGATCAGTCGAATAAATCGAGATTGAAAAATATTCTGAAAAAAGGAAATATTACAGACACAACCAATACAACACTCACCAACAACAATTTAGAGGAGAGACATTTTTCGAAAAAAAGATATAAGAGATCACCAATAAGTGATGCACCTGAAACGATTGATATCCCAGAAGAAAATACAAACCAGGTAAAGACCTCTCAATGTGCTAAAGATACACCAAAAGATGTAGCTCTAGAACGTAGACACATCGAAGATTTGAAGGAAGAAGTGAAGAAATTGTATGAACTAGTAATTTTGCTGAAAGATCAACAGAAAATATTGTCACAGTTGGATGATAGATCAGACGATATTGAAAGCGATATTTCCAAACGTTTTGAACAGAAAGAGCTATTGACAGTTTTGGAACATTTGAATAACGATTCCATAAGCGAGCCAGTAACAGAAAATGGTTCAGTCAAAAAAGTATCCGAAGATTCAGTTCCCATGGTTCAAATTAATCCAGCTCATAAAGAATTGGAACATTTGAAATTCGACATAAAACAAACAATGGCTGCGCTCAACCAAACACATGATTTTTTGGTTCATCAGAAGAATTCAGAGATAGCTTTGAGAAAGGAACTGCAGAAACAAAAAATTGAAATCAATATTTTGAAAATTATGGTGACAAAACTATTTCAGAATTTGAATTTCACAAACCTCAAGGACAAAAAAGTAAAGGAGACTTTTGATACTGAAGTAGTTGGAAGTCCACTATACATACCGAATCATATGTCTGCTCCGAAAAAAAACCATAGAACAAGTAAGGAAAGTTATGACAGGAAATATTCCCTCGATGAACAAAAAACAAACATTGCAAGGGAAAGTGATCTAGACGATATTTCTCGATTTTTCAACGAACTTGATAAACCAAAGGTATCAGATCTGGAAATGAAACTTATGGAACTTGGAGTAGACAAAGATAAGAAGAAAAGAGAGGACAACTTGAAAAAACTGTTGATAATATTGGAGACACTCTTGGAAAGGCAACAAACTAAGCCCAATTCCAATTTTCTTCCAAGTAATGATAATGACCGTTTAAGGAAACTACAACTGGTCTTGAGACTTATGAGTAGACCACAAGGAAAAATAGACGATAACATTGAAGATGAACTTGAAAAATTACAAAGTGAAATTGATAAATTGAGACCCGAAAAAGAAATTTCTCCGTTGGATTTCTCGGAAGCCGAACGAGAAAAACTGAGAAATATTTTGAATGGAAAAGGACGGATTGGAGAACCAAAAAAATTCGAACAAGTTACTTCCCAAGACTTCCTGACAATGAAGAAAAGACTTGAGCAGTTGACATCTGATGGAATCAAAAAAACTAACAGTATTAAAGAAAATATAGGTGAGAATACCCTTCACATTCTTTTTTTTTGAACTAACGACTACGGACATTTTCAGTCAAAATACAGTTTTAATAAACCTAACAAATCATCCAGCTTTTGTCTAAACATTAGGATTTTTTCAGAACTCTAAAGAATTAATATTTTGAAATAGGAAGTTATAAATTGACAATACTCACGAGAGAATTGAGTAGAAGTAGATTTGAATATTACTGAAGTTCAATCTCAACACCAAACCGTTATTTTAACACCTCGACACGTGTTTCATTCATTAAGTGATCATCTTCAAGAGAAAGGTTAAACAGTTTAATCTTCCTTTTGAAGATGATCACTTGGTGGTTGAAGCACGTGTCGAGGTGTTAAAAATAACGGTTTGGTGTTTTTTCTGAACTCTAAAGTATAAATATTTTGATATAGGGAGTAATAAATTGGCATTACTCACGAGAAAATTGAGTAGAAGAAAATTTTAATATTACTGGAGTTCAATCCGAACACCAAACCGTTATTTTTAACACCTCAACAAGTGTTTCAATCACCAAGTGATCATCTTTAAGAGGAAGGTTAAACAGTTCAATCTTCCTTTCGAAAGATTGGTGATTGAAACGCATGTCGAGGTGTTGAAAATAACGGTTTGGTGTTGGGATTGAACTCCAGTAATATTTATTACTACACCAAAGGTTCCAAACAGTGCATCACAAGATGAAGATTTGTCAAGATACAGTTTTAACAAACTTAACAAATCATCCAGCTTTTGTCTAAATATTATGATTTTTTCAGAACTCTAAAGTATGAATATTTCAAAATAGAAAGTAATAAATGGGCAATACTCACGAAAAATTTGAGTA